CCTGGCTTCCAAAGAGCATTTTGGATGTACTTCTTCCAACACAGATCTGATTGTTATTTTGGCAGTCCCTGGTACTTTAAATATTCTCCTCCAACACCACAACTGAAATGCATAAATTCTTCTACAGTCTTCCTTTTTCACTGTCCAACTTTCACATTCATATAAGGTTATTGAAAATACCATGGCTTAAGTCAGGAAAATACCATGGTTTAAGTCAGGTACACATTAGTCCTCAGAAAAATATCTTTGCACTTAACACTTTAAAGAGGTATTATATAGCAGATTTGCTTAATGCAGTACATGTTTTAATTTCTTGACTGATACTTCCGTGAGTGTTGATGGTTGATCTGAGGAAAATGAAGTCTTTGCTTCATTTTTTTATGCTTTCAGTCTTTTATCCATTTATCTAGGTGTGATTTATTGGTCCAGTGGTGAGGATTTTTGTCTCCTTTACATTGAGACTGTACAGAAGGCTATGGTCTCTGACCTTCATCAGTAAGTATTTCAAGTCCTCTTCGCTTTCAACATGTAAGGTTGTGTCATCTGTATATCACAGGTTGTTAATAAGTCTTCCTCCAATCCTGATGCCATGTTTTTCTTCATATAATCCAGCTACTCAGATTTTGTGCTCAACATACAGATTGAATAAATATGGTGAAAGACTACAACCCTGGCACACACCTTTCCTAAGTTTAAACTATTCATTGTTCCCTTGTGTTCAAACAACTGCCTCTTGGTCTATGTAAAAGAACCTCATGAGCACAATTAAGTGTTCTGGAATACTCATTCTCCACAACATTTTCCATAGCTTGTCATGATCCACATAATAGAAAACGTTTTTGTAGTCAGTAAAGCACAGGTAAACATCTTTCTTGTATTCTCTGCTTTCAGCCAAGATCCATCTGATGTCAGCAATGATATCCCTTGTTATATGTCCTCATCTGAATTCGACTTGAACTCTCACAGTTCTCTGTCAGTGTACATTTGCATCCATTTTGGGATTCTCTTTAGCAAATTTTATTTGTCTGAAATATTAATGATATTGTCTGACAACCTCTGCATTCTGTTGGGTCACTTCTCTTGGAATGGGCACAAAAATGGATCTCTTCCAGTTAGTGGGCCAGTTAGTTGTCTTCTAAATTTCTTGGCTTCATCAGTTTGTTGAAAGATTTCAATTTGTATGCCATCAATTCCTGGCGCCTTGTTCTTTCCCAGTGCTTTACACTTATCAAAGAGCATGGTTTGGTAGTCTAATATTGGTTATAATAGTGACTACTTGTACCCCTTGCATTAAAACAATTACAATTGGCATGCATAGAGATGTTGTTAGGTGCTGTCGAGTTGGTACTGACTCATAGCAACCTTATGCACAGCAGAATGAAATATTGCCCGATCCTGGGCCAACTTCACTACTGTTGCTATGCTTGAGTCCATCGATGCTGCCACTTGGCCAATCCATCTTGTTGGGGGTCTTCTTCTTTTTCTCTGACCCTCCACCTTACCAAACATGATATGCTTCTCTAGAGACTGGTCCCTCCTGACAATATGTCTGAAGTATGAGAGATGAAGTATATGCATAGAAATATTTTGGTCATAATTGATTTCCTCTATAAAGAGTCTTGGCGTCCTGTTGTGGTGCTGTGGGCTAATGTGTCAGACTGGAAAGTCGTTTGAATTGCAAGGTTGGTTGTTCAAGCTTACCAGGTTCTCCTTGGAAACTCTATACAGGTTTGCTGTGGGTCGGAATCCACTTGACGGCACTTAACAACAACATACAGAGTCCTGGATTGGCATTGTAGGGTAAACACTGGACTGCTAACCACAAGGTCAGCAGTTTAAACTAGGCAGCTCCTCCTTGGAAATACAGTCACTATGAGTTGGAACTGACTTGATGGCACTTAATAGCAACTACAGATCCCTGAGTGATCTGTCTGATAATGTGATAACATGGATTCAATGATCACTTACACACTAACATTCTGATCTCTAGGCTATAAAGGCACATATCTCTTTAGGATATTATCTCTCATCCCGACTTTTGGAAGCATTTTTATTTTGGATGTTAAAACTAAGTTCATCTTTATATGAAAACTTCTTTTCTGAATATTTTACCAGCATAACCAGTCACTCCATTACACCACTATCTCTTGGGCCTTCTTTACTTACTTATCTTTTACCAACTCTCTCCATTTAGTTTCATGCTTTCATTTTCCTGTATCTACTTCTGTGAACAATATTTTGAATTCAAGCTGGATTTAGAAGAGGTAGAATGAGGGATATCATTGCTGATGTGAGATAGATCTTGGCTGAAACCAGAGAAGACCAGAACGATGTTTTCCTGTGTTTCATTGAAATTGCAAAGGTCAATCATAAAAAATTATAGATAACATTTTGAAGAATGGAAATTCTAGAATACTTAATTTTGTACATGCAAAACCTGTTTATAATTGAAGAGACAGTTTTAATAGAACAACTACTGTCTGGTTTATAGTCAGGAAAAGTATTCACCAGGGTTGTATATTTTCACCATACTTATTCATTTTGTATCATGAGCAAGTAAGACAAGAAGCTGGACTCTGTGAAGAAGAGTGAAGCATCAGGATTGAAGGAGGACTTATTAAAAACCTATGATATGCATATGACACAACTTTTTTTGCTGAAAGGAAGAGGGCTTAAGTACTTACTAGAAGATCAACATCCTTTAGTAAGGATTGCATATTAATGTACAGAGAACAAAACAAAAACTCCTCACAACAGGACCAATAAATGCCATGAGAAACTGAGAAAAGATTGTAGTCAAAGATTTCATTTTACTTGGCTCTACAATCATTGTCCATGGTAGCAGCTGTCAAGAAATCAAACAACGTATTGTATTGGATAAATCTGGTGTAAAACACCTGTTTAGAATATTAAAAAGCAAAGATGTCACTTTGAGGACTAAGGTGTGCCTGATCTAAGACATTTTATTTTCAATCACCTTATGTGAGAGGACTTCAAAAGTCATGGAAAAATGAAATTAAAAGATAAAAATAAAAATAATAACTTTATTTTTTCAATGTAAGTTCCATCAATGTCAAGACATTGTTGTTTTAAGTGGTGATACCATTGATTTGGTCCATCCCTAAAGAGCTGAGGGTTTGGGGAATTTAATGTTAATGCAATCTTTTTACCATTATTAACTAAAGAAAAATGAGTGCCCTCTAAAGATTTTTTAAGATTGTTAAGTGTCGTTGAATTGGTTGAGACTCACAGTGACCCAGTATAGGGTTTCCGAAGAACAGCTGGTGAGTTTGAACCACTGACCTTGCAGTTCAAACCAATCTTGTGGTCTTACAGCACCACACCAGGACTCCTTTTCAAGATTAGGAAATAAAAAGAAGTCAGAAGGAGCCAAATCAGTACTGTGAGGTAGATGCCTAATGATTTCCTATCAAAAAACCCACAAGATTGCCTTTGTTTGAAGAGAGGAATAGCAGGAACACTGTCATGAAGGCAAAGGACTCTGGTGTAGCTTTCCTAGGCTTTTT